CTCTGACTCCGACGTGAGCTGGATCGCATGACGGCAGCTGTTGAACTCCCTAGTTATCATCTCGATGTTAGCATTCTCGTCACATGCGATAAAAGTATCATCCATGTATCTTTGGTACATATGAAAACTACCGAAATATATATAAGCTGAAATAAGTCAGAGACACTGTGAAAACTACTGGTCCTGAACTCATCAAAGATGCCCACCTAGAACTTAATGTACGATCAAGCTGATAAAGTCGGGTTTCGACTGGAGAACATTACTAATCATAATTGATATCTGTTTGGAATAAAAATTTTTACTTATGAAGAGATTTTTCAGCCTTATTCGAAACATTTCACTAATCTCTGTTTAAAAACAAAAACAAAGCGTGACCGACTGTACCAGTCACTTTCGTTAGAGCAGTAACAAAAATATTTACTACTCATATTATTCAGTAGTATCTCTTTTAATTAACAAATAGTATTGCCGGATAAAATAAAGCTTGTTCCACTCGTCTCAAGAAACATTTTCAAATGACTAAAATATTTTCAAGTAATATGAATGTCTGCATATTCGATTTGTTATCGGTTTTCGAACACGAGTAGATTTCAGCTACTACAACGGTGAAATAAACGATTTTTTTTCCTCACTCTCTACATTTCGCATGAAACATACGATGACAATATTTGAATTTTCGGTAGAGGTAGTGTTATTGTTTATATGAGCTCGGGCTGCTAACATCACGCCTAACGTTACTTCTTTTCGCGACTTACTACAGACTAGTACGTCGGTCAGGAATCTAACCAAGACGATGTCCTTAGTTGGCGAGCATTCTACAACTAAATCACCAATTCGGTGGTATTCTCACAACAGAAAAGGTTTAAAAGGTTGAAACTGATGATTGTCTAGTTTTTATAACACCTTCTGCTATCGCTAATGTTTCACACATATTCTTTCATAAGATGACTAAATCTAAGGTTTTTAAGTTTAATACTTCTTAGTGAAAGGTGGTTAAGTTACTTTATTTATCTCATGTGGTAATGCAGGTACTGAAACATACGGTTTAGAAATGGTAGGAAGCTCTAAAATTCAATTTAGTTAGACGGAAATTGAAATTCCATACTGGTTTGTTTATTAGATGTATCACACAGTGAAACAGTATTTTTTACTGGATGACGTTTCGAACACAATTGATTGTTCATAATCATATCAATTGTAATCACATGACTTTGACACTTGAGTTTTATAGTTTTCTTTGTTCTCTCCTATTTGTCGTTTGGGTAGTAGAATTTTCCAGATATCTGGGACAGGTGATGAATCATTCCTATTACATGTATTTGCAGTTGATTCGATAAACAAAGCTTCTGTTATCAATCTCTCCCTATACCCTGTGACATTAGATTTTAAAACTGTCATCCTATCCCATCCATCCTATTGTATGGTTGTGTGTGACTGCATGTAGTGCCATAGCTGAACTATTCTCTAGATTTCTTATCTTATTCGGGTCAACCAATCTATATTTTGCTAAGTTTTTGTGTTCAGCTAGTCTGACTGCCCCTGTTCTACTACTTTGACCTATGTATTTGACCTGACAATCATTGCAGGGTATTAGATAAACTAAATTGTTTTGTTTTAAAGGCTCTACAGGATCCTTTAACCGACAAAGCTTGTTTCTAATTGAGTTTGTGGGTTTGAATGCTATTTTTATTCCTGCCTTGTCAAGAATTCTGCGTAAGGCTTCCGGTCAGGTCAAATACATAGGTCAAAGTAGTAGAACAGGGGCAGTCAGACTAGCTGAACACAAAAACTTAGCAAAATATAGATTGGTTGACCCGAATAAGATAAGAAATCTAGAGAATAGTTCAGCTATGGCACTACATGCAGTCACACACAACCATACAATAGGATGGATGGGATAGGATGACAGTTTTAAAATCTAATGTCACAGGGTATAGGGAGAGATTGATAACAGAAGCTTTGTTTATCGAATCAACTGCAAATACATGTAATAGGAATGATTCATCACCTGTCCCAGATATCTGGAAAATTCTACTACCCAAACGACAAATAGGAGAGAACAAAGAAAACTATAAAACTCAAGTGTCAAAGTCATGTGATTACAATTGATATGATTATGAACAATCAATTGTGTTCGAAACGTCATCCAGTAAAAAATACTGTTTCACTGTGTGATACATCTAATAAACAAACTAATATGGAATTACTTACTACCACAGTGCCCAAGGAAATAGAAATTGACTAATATACTTATATTTATTGAATAAACACTAAATACGTGAAGTCGGCATGACTCATCAGTCATAGACAACACTAAAAATTGAAGAACAAATGACACTGAAATATAAAAATTTATGACTACTTTGAGTTACCCGAAAGCAATAAAGTATACTCCAAATATTACCTGTTGTGCAGGCATGGTATCCGGTTATCGGTTAAAGGATACGTGTACTGAGCAGCAGTTCACTCTATCCTTCTTTATGGATGCTGGATGGCCATTGAAAGTGGAAGACTTGAAGAGGCTAGCTATTTGCGTTCTATGTTCCGTGTTAAGTGGTATAATATAACGAGTGATGTTGAGGTTAGATGTCGAGTGTTAGATAAGGAGAGAAAATAAATCAATGAGGTTGTGAAGCTGTATCGACCGTGATGGCTAGAACGTGTTACGCATGCTGAGCTATAGACTTCCTCGTCAAGGAGTATTAGCTGACAGGATTAAGTTGCAAAAGTGCTAGGGTCGATGAAACCAAAACATAACAGAAGTTGATGAAGTCCTTGACTGTTAGCTTAAGTCGTGTAAACTGTCTTACTGAGGTCCACCGGACGCTAAGAACTAGTAATTGGAGACTGTCTGTGATATGAATGCAAATCGTTCTCAATGGCACAGATACATTCACTCTCCACATACTTATCCTTGTTCTCGTACACTTCCTTTCGTTACAGTTCATCTGATTATGATAATTTGGACGGTTGAATGTCTGTGCAAAGTTCTACGTTGAAAACTCAATGAGTTCGTGAAATACCATCTAGTTAATTATATTTCATCACTGTATGTTATGTCAAATAGAACACTAATTCAGTTGGAAACCATACTGTATCTAGCTAATTTACGCTACTATTAAGGAGAACAACTGAGTAAAGACAGTGGTTTCTAGTGTTTGACTTCAGTTGATGAAACGAAGTAACAATGAAGTCAGTTACATGGTAATTCAAAGGAACCAAGCTGGTAATCATAATATTCACAGCTCGACATCAACACAAATGGACAAAGTGAAAGTCAAAATACTTAAACGACAAGACATGGTTAGACAGTATCAGTCAAGACTTCTAAAACTCCAAGATACAACAACAGTCTTATTTTAAAATCAGATGGCATAAGCACCTGGAAATTTTCTATCACTTGTCAGGAGAGATACCCTCCGATGTCAGTGGCGAATCGACAAAGGTTACAATTAACTGACGACTAAACTCCAAACCAGAGACTGAATGGTAACATGTTTGCCTCTCAACCTGAATCTTGATGGAGCCATGGATGTGTACTGCAGAAAAATCCTGGCCTAAAAGCGATAGATGTACAATTCTCCTTAGTTTTCAGTGAATCTTTAAATGATGTCGGTTTTTTGAGGTCTACCTTAAAATTACCTCTCCCCTTAGTTTTAATTCGGGACTAACTTTTCAATAAATCTCTTGGTTATTTGGAAATAAATCTGGGGATACTAACAAGTATAAATAATCCACAAGGCAACTTTGAGTTTCTAAATGACACAATAATGCAAATATGTATTAAAAATCCATTTTCTGTTTTATAGCATACTGGTACTAAGAAGCTTATAGTTGCTTATATTACCCAGATCACTTATCACTAACTTCATATATTTTGTTTTGATACAACCCTAAAGCTCACTACTAACTTCAGCCGGAAATGCTTGTTTGTTGGGCGTGTATCAAGTGCTTCTGCTGATAAAACCTATATTCACGTACTAAAGCTTTGGATCTCATCGACATGTGTTGCATTTAAATAGTATTTCAGAAGTGACATTCTAATGAACATTGGTACTATGTTATGGAGCGAAACACGCGTATGTGTCTAAATATCACTACTAATACAGCGGCAGTATAGACTGACACCCGTCGTCGTAGTGTTTTCGGTTTAAGCCATCAACTTAACCCCAAATATAGTGACAGTTTAGGTAGAATTACCTTGAAAGGAGGTAAGTTGTTCGAACTAAGAGAACTATGGAGTCTAGGACTGGTGGTGAGAGACAAACTTGGGAATATAAAGTAAGTGTGATCACGATAATAACCGAAAGTAACGGTCAGAGATTCGAAGTAATATGTCAGGACATATGTCTCATGTACCAGGGGTATGATCAACACAAGCTGCTCACACTGATGCAGGTGGGTCGGAGTCAAAATTCGGGACTCATTGGTTGAAAATCAAGTGTATAAGTCGTGGCTAAGAGCCAACCGCAAGAGCATAAATGCATTTATACCATATTCTCACCGAAACTATAAATATCACGTCTCCTTCGTCATTTTATCTAATCTTGTTTTACAATGATTTACAACTTCTTTATCTTCCCTCTTTCATTTGAAAAGATAAAGTGAGATGCATAAAAAGGGACTGTTCTGAAAAATTGTATATCTTACATTGATATGTGTATTGGTAAGATGGCTTATAAGTTATCATATTTAACCGTAAGTGCATTATTATCCCCAATTCAACTGATGTTTTATCCGAAAACAATAATCGCCTTTCTAGATACATGTATACTCTAGATTAGGTGTTTGGATAAGCATATCAAATAGATATCTAATGAAAACTACAGATAACGTTAAACAAATAAATCTTATAATAGATGTGAGCGGGTTCTGGAACGATGGAAGTGTGCAATGATGCTCTATAAAGTCCCAACTTACAGTCTTGTACAACCATAAGCTGCATTCCACCTTATCTACATTGCAAACAACAACAACTCGGATAAATCCAACAAAGTAACAGCAGTAGGAGCTTATAATATGAAAATCATCGAAGCGGGGTCTCTCTCAAAAACAAAAATAAATTTAATACAAAGATTTTTACTCAAAGAATACTTTCAGACTTAAAAGTTTACAGAATGTTCATCATTTATTTAAATGAACGTAATAAAATCCATAACAAATAAAAAACGACATGAAGTTTACCTCATGCTAAGCGATAAAATACTATATATTATGGTATAAAATCTTTTTCAATGGTGTTTTTTAAACAAGCACATAAAATTATGCATAAAGTACTTTCTAGCATATAAGAAGAAAAGGCAGCAAAAGAAAACTTTACAGAAAGAATCAGCACACGATGTAAATTAATACAATGTATATCATAAGCACTTTGGATCAAACATCAGATGCAGAACATTTCATGGAAGAAGTTTAGTTCATGCATCATCATACAGATCACAAGTGCAAATGATAGGCCATGAATAATAAAAGAATGATTGTGCTGTTTCTAATGCGTTAGACGTTCATTAAGGAATTCAGTTATTGTATCGCTATCCCAAGTGTCGACTGGAACTTCTTCTTGTACTTGCCGATTTTCGTTAAGCATACGAACTGCAGGTCTGTGACCTCTTTCGTATACCACTTTCAGGTTGGTCATTTTCTTTCTCTCCTTACTGTCGATGAATGCTAAACAAAAGACCAAATAAATAATATATTGCAATTAAAGTAAGTAATGAGAGTTTGTGATCTTGAAACAATGATATTGGAATGTAACCCTCATTAAATATTCCCATAGAACGATATTACTGCAAAGCAAAGTAGACAATGATTCAGATTATAGAATGAAAACTAAAAAAAATGACAAAAAGTCACTGACCATATATTTACTCTTTTACATCAATCCATACTCTTCATTACTAACAAGATTAATAGGACTATTTAATAGAAAGTTCCAAAAGAACCACCGCACCTGGTACATTATGAAGTACATATTTAGTTACTCACTTCATTATATTGGTCTTGTTATCGTCATAAAGAACTGTTTCATTTTATTTTCGTCACCTTTTACATTTGTCACTAAATTAAGTTTTATCTCTTGCTCGTTACTACTCGAAACCCCAGTCATTAATTGGTTTCTTTAGATAACTGACCTCCAGTGCAATAAGACTTCTTTGACAAAACTTTTCATGTTCCACCTTGCAACCTAAGACGTTCATACACTGATGCAAATTGGATAACAGGAAGTTTTGACTAGGACCCGGGTAAGTTTCACTATTAGTGTGTACTGTATCTCAGAGGATTGTATACAAGATGTAAGTGAAGGTCTCTAAATAACTCTATCTGTCAGCTACATTAGTATTTTATGTATGCTTATTCGGGGAATTTGTAGTACTACTAAGCTGGATCTCCATTTACAAACATTTAAGAGAATATGTGATTCCAAACTAAAAAGCGGTTGGCCGAAAAGGCGTTACCATTACGTAAGCAAGGGTTACACTTGCAAGATATCACAAAGATGAGGGCTACAAAGACTTCCCGCTAGCAAATGCTGGGCCTCTGAGAGGTCCTTTTAACACCCATCAATTCAGCCCTGTAAATAGTATGTGCAATAATCCACATGAGGTTTTTAGGTATAAGAACACACATAATGTAAGGACTTCAAAGTCTGGAGGTCAGAAAGTCTGAGATGATAGCAGCAACAGAGCCTGGCAATAGTAGGAAGTTGTTTAAACTTATCATAGCCTATTCATGTATATAGGTAGTCGTGCCAGTATCTGCTGAGGTTCGACAGATGACATTTTTAATTGTGTAGCATAATGCAAAGCGTTGTACGCTATTGTGGGCTACAACTTGAATCCTCACAATCAGCCTGGACTTCAAAGGTTGAGCTTAAATTGCTTCAGTGCCTGTAGCCTCGCTTTATGTCAAGGCAGTTAGGCCCTTCCAACCTGAGGATGCGCAGTGGCTCTGTGCTGAATCATCAATATTTTCGCAGAACTCCTTGAATCAGGTGATTTCACCATATAAGCAATTTCGAGGTCCGACAGTGTGTAACCAGACACGGTGGAAACCATCTTTCAATGAGTGATGACAACAAAAGATAGTGATAGTGACATATTTCACGAATACCATACCAGCAGCTTAGTTAAGGTCACTGTTTACTAACCCAATAACTCGCTGGATAAAGTAGAGACGTCAGTTCCCAAGGTGGAATAGTGAGATGGAAGATAGTTGGGTTAGCACATATTGGTTAATCGCAACTCTTTGGTGGGGACTGAGATCATGCGACTCCGTGTCTCGAGGTGTTATTAAATGGTACACAGCCAATGTCAGACAAGCTGTTAGTTTTGCTTTCCTCTCTTTCTGAATATAATGTGATATAAAGAACGCTTTTTTAAATGCTGTGGTTTTTATCCTGTTGCCCGTAGATTACTACTACTCATATCTTTGTTTTATAACCTTGTGCAGCGCATCTCTTCATACCCCCAATTGTACTAAACTTGTTTTTTTTTTAAAAGACGTGACACTAACATAGTGAGCTGTTGGTTGTTCTCTTGAACTGTGCAAAATACATGTGGGGTACGTGTATTCAGATCTTGAGGTTGCAAAACTTAAAGGATATATACCCTCCGTACTTCGCTTTGTGTCCACTACATCAGGCTATAAAGCGTTACAACCTGAATCTAATTATAAACTCAGTTTCAGATTGTATCTCTACAGCACAGAAATTATTACATAGCTACTCTACCAGTGATATTCGATAAAAACACCTGAGTAATAACATCCAAGGGAAATAAAAGTCTGTATTCACGAGAACATACCACATTCTGCATTTTGCACATGCAGTACAATATTTTCTTAGGCATAAACTGATTCCTTAGATCTAGTAACTCAATGGTCACTAGTTAGATTCCTGCTACGAATTTTTTTGTCCTAACTACTTATTAACTATCAAATCACCAAACACAAAAGTTCCACCAGTTAACACACAAGTATTTGATATATAATGATTGTACATGTTGTTTGAACTCAGTTACCCGGAACAAATTTTTCATTTGCCCGGTTATGAGCCATACATTGTGTGAAACCTGATGATACTTCTACCCAGTTGTTCAGTTTGAAGTGGAGCGGGATATGAAGATAGAAACCATTGGTTGTTAGTCGACTGTTTAATCCAATGGACTACATCTCTGGATTTTAAGTGAAATGACCTACAAATAAAGATACTTCCTTTTCTATATCTGTGTTTTGTAGCATTCGATGACATGACTGATTATGTCTTCTTTTAGAGGCAGAAAATAAAGATAAGACAAACAGTAATAATATTTCTTATGTTGATATCTGCTAACGCTCAGTTGGTTTGTGGAAACCCATGGTCTGAAAAGTCTGTCTCAAATACAACAGAGTCTGGAACACGTGATATATTAACTGCAATAAAGAAATTAGTAGGTTTGAAAACCAAATATCCACACGTGGAATATGTCAATGGGTCCCATAAAAACCGTCGGTCCTTTTGAACTCGTAAACGAATAGTTTGCTTCTACTTATGAAGTACAGTAGTCGTGGTTCCTCATTCGCTTCTCAGGAAGTCACAGCTTACAACTCATCTAACGGTCATTCAGTGTAAAATTCATAGGTGAAAAAAGACAACCATGACAGTTTGACAATATGAGGAAAAACAGAGACCAAACAATTGATGTATTGAGATTTCGCCCGAGTGATTTATAAGGACGACTTCATACTCGTTTGCATTTGGCACTTCAAACGCGAATAACCGTAGGAAATAATACACCAAAGACATATGGATGGTAATTTACCATATGCATATGTATATATATATATATATATTACTATAGCTGAAGTGAAACACTTTAACAATGAGCCACGCCTATTCCGTAAGAGCCACTGATACTACATTGTTATCCAAATGCCGATAGGCCAGATGGTGACATATTTGTTGAAAGTCGGTGGACTACAACAGTGCTACTATGCTGAACCTACAGTACATCCAGAACTTGAATGAAAAAGTTGTAGAGATCGAGAACCTTTTGACCATTCATACGATATTAGAAACTTTACAATCTCAGATATGTGGGTGGTAATCTTGCTTTCATTACACAATGAAAATCCCAATACCTTAGTCTAACGGCTGAGACGTACTACTGGCCCATTAGTTTTTCCAAAACAAACTGCTCTCACTCGAGATATTGTTAACAACTTGATAGATCACTGGCATGTCTGAATGGTAGTTCTATTACACCACTGCAGCGCCCAGTATAAGCGAAGTGGGTGAAGAAGGGTTATATAATGGTTAAAATGGGCATAGTTTTGGGCAAGTGGTAAGTATGGTGATATAATGAGCTAATCCTGCCTAAATTATGGGCAAATTTTAAGTGGAAAAGATAGGTGTCAGTATATATACCACATGCAGTTTCTGCTTGTTCTATGGAAAATGCCTAATGATGCTCACAAATACTTTCTAACAAATAAAAGTAAAAACACGGTTTGCTTTATTTTGGTTCTTGAGTTACTTTTATTCTGGAACTTACCGAGCACTTGGGGATAGCGTTCCAAAGATCAGGAACATGCCACCAGTTCAGCAAAAGCATATTTCTAGCAGAATAAATAAATAAAACGCTTATACAAACCTTGGATATAGCAGACAGATTTTCATCTTCACAGCACTGAGTACAAGATGTCTCAAGCTTTTGCAACTGGAATTTCTTCAATTCTAAACATGACGAACATTTTAGTAAGGGAGTAAAGCCGGCAAGTGCACAGGAATTTCTGTCATCACCATAAACACTAATCTAAAAATCAGACTTCAGAGCTAACGTCATTAATTCTTACAAATAATGTGAACAAATAAACAACAAGGTCACTCAGCAGCATCGCGAAAAGCGCGGTGCAACGTGTGAAAACGTAAGCTAAAGGCCTTTCAAAGCCATATAGAGCGGAAAAACAAAATTGATTCAAGTAGACATCCCTGTAATGTGTTCGTTTTGAAGACATAAACCCACAGTAAATACTTCTCGTTGTGTATCTGGCTTGCCAAGAAAATCTTATCATAGTCCGGGCTACAGAGAATAGAAATTAGGTTAGCCACTAAATTAGGTCACCCAGTAAATAATACCGTTTCAGTGTGTAATACACCTACTGAACAAACTAATATGGAATTTCTTACTACCACAGTGCCCAAGTTTTACACATAGGTTATATTTCAGACGGCGAAAATGGAATATATAGCCAGATGTCGTTGTCGTGTAAACGAACCCACTGAGTGGACCGGTTATGAATATTTTTGCAGGCAATGGTCGCAAGACAAATATAGAGCGTGCACTGAATCCACCGCATTTTATAAATGACTATGCAGACGTCGAATGTAGGGAATAAAATACTCGCTCACTAGAGAAGTGTGGAGATTGACCAAAATGGATCAATCAGCTAGGAGGCAAACAAATCAACAATGAGCGACAGAGGTAGATTCAAAATTTTCAACTAATGAACTCTTCTCAGTGAAGTTTTGCGCCTGATAAGTTGAGCTAATTGAGAATCCCCCGTATCAGCAATCATTTGATCTACAAGAATTTCTCTAGAGGCAGTCATTAGTATGAATGGGTGACCTCACAGAAAAGAGTTACCCGATAACTGAGTACGTGATTTCCGACTGCTGTGGCTTCTTCTCCACAGTCCTCCATTGCACGCTGCTTCTCAAGGTAACACTGCCTTCAGTAAATGGAGTTTAAACTTTTTACCATCTCTCACTAAGTTTTAAAAGGACTAGGTGGGCACAGTGTATTATTCTGTATAATTCCTAGCATGCTCCAACTGAATTTCTGCCAGGTTGCATGTCATTTAATAAAGCCAGTGTGGTACATTTAAGCGAATACCAGATAATGACCATGAGGCACAAATGCGTTACAAACAACATTAGACCAGATTTAATCACCTTGTCAGAACAAAGGAATTATACTAGGTCTAGAGTTGTAGGCACCTTAAGGATAAGTAATTCAAAAAAATCTTGTATTTTCTTATGCACGCGTTTGAGTACAAATACAACGATGTGGCGTCCCAGTGGCTGTATGGTATGCGTGCTCATCTTGTAACCACAAGGTCCTAGGATTTAACCCTGGTGTTTTTGTACTGATGGAGAGTTCCAAAACAGGACGAAACAGCTTTCCAGCACTCCTTGGTCTTCTGTGGTTATTTGTATATTCTCTACAATACGTTGTGCGCAGTTGCACTCAGACCCGGCTATTGATTAAGGAATTCAGAAGGATGAGTTTGACACTCACGTATGAATTATATCTTTTGATTTGTAAGACCTTCATTACCTACTGAATAATGAAAGCATTTCGATGTGTCTGACTTTGTTTTACGGCCCTATTCTCCCTTATCTCACGCAGAATCGCATGACTCTCTACAGGTTACTGCATCTTATAAAAGTGCTACGATATTTCCAGATGCCTGTTCTAAGCACCTGGTACAGTTGGTGTCTGTGAGACCACAATTAATAATTTTCAGTAGCTTTTATCTACCCTTTAGCTTGAACAGTCGATTATCTGTTACCATTCTAGATTTTTCGACTCTTAGTTTCCGGTTGCAAACTAGGCATCCAGTCAATTAGACTGCCTGAACGACTTCGAGCTCACTTCCAGCTGGCTTCAAATAGAAATAACGCTAATGTCTGCTATGTGGCCATCTGTTCTGCAAGACCTGCACCTTGACCATATTACCTGCTGACTCTTTATCCCGGCCCACCCAAAGTGGTGGATTTCATCGACTGTTCTTGACACCATCCTAAGTAGTGAAGGGGGAATATAACTTATACGGCTGCTCAAATTTGCATTTATTAATGGTGATATGCAGAGAGTATAAAAATACACAGTCACGCAACAACGCAGGCGACAAGGGATTGCCACCTGAAAATCCACTTGTCCACCACATGTTTCAACCCGGATGATAATTAAAGGTTGCGTTACGAATGGAAAATATGGTAGGTTATTCACTAAATTGTAGGATTGTTCGTGTAAAATCTTGCCATCTTATGAATAACCTACCATATTTGCCATTCGTACCTCAACCTTCAATTGTCACGCGACTCCGGCTAAATTTATACAATAACGATGCCCGAGATTATACCATTTCGATTGCTTCTACCTATATGCAGTGGTCTTATGGATGTTGTTCCGCTACCCTGTCTTATGTATACCTTGCTTATTTGAATAATTGTAGATGTGCTTACTCCAAGTATATTTTAACACAGTGATAATGCTTATGAACTTGTGTCCGTACAAACGAATGACAAAATATTACCACTATTAGATAACCTAACTGGACGTTTAAAGCGGAACGCCTCAGGTCCAGTTGGTTTGAAGAACTTCTTTGACCTCCCACAGTAGTACGTTTCAACTGTACTCATTCCTCTGGGTCTCACTTATTAGCTGAAGGACTTTGGTTAAGTATCAGATGAAATTTTGTTTTTCAGTCAATGAATACAAGTAAGGTGGAGATTTTTGGCGTAAACAAAGCATTGCACTTCCTGCATGGAGTGTCAAGGCACCAGGTTTTATCTTCTGTTGAAATGCAAGTTCCCACCTGACTTTGCGCGTCCTATAATTTCAGCATGTGATCGCAAAACAAAAAATTACAATCAAATAGTAAATAATCAGTAATCCACTCAAGAAATGCAAACTTTGAACTTGGATCCACAGACTTTCGGTAAATGAACAAAATTTGGTAGTCCTGAAATTTATGGGGAACTGGTTTCAGACCCCAAGTGGAGGCCAAATCTGGGTTCTTGTGTGAAATTATATGAATCCTAGGAGAAATCACAAGATATCAGATTTAGGATGGTGGGTTAATCCCATTCTTTTAAAGTGATTCCTCCATTCAGTTTGGGGGGTGTATTCCACAGCAAGTGACATTTTATAATGATGTGCGTTGTTATTGTTTATAATTATTCGTCATTGTTCGTCATCAAAACTTGGCTGAGCATGAGACTAACTCATCGTGTGGCGGGCTCCATTCGCCAGTGTTTGAATGTAGTTGATCAAAACTACACATGTATACCAAAAATATTGCCTGTGTCAAGTAAAATGAATGAATGTTTTGCGGAGTACAGTGAAGGGGATATGTTGTAGGTCAATACGAAAGTGGATAATGTCGAGATCATCGCTTTCTACTCGTTTGGAGGCCTATCCACTTAGATTCTAGGAGTGTACCTTTAGCTGAGTTAGTAAAAGTATTAGAATCAGTTGATTTAGAGGCATATATTAGCCACCCACCTGCTGTTTTGTCGACTCTATCATTCCTGTGGATGTCATAATTGTCAGTTACCTGCTCTTTGTCAGTTATATCATTAGTTAGCCAGTTTTCAGTTCCCAGGATTAGCGTTGACCATTCCATGCATGCCAGGCTACGAAGTACGTTATTTTGTTAAGGAGGGGTCGAACATTAAAGGGCAGAATTTTCAGAAAATCAGAGTCGTCGGCAGGATAGTTAGTAAGTTTTCTTGTTACTATCCTTAAATCTTGATTGCCCGTGTTATGTTTGGAGGGATTCGGAGATGAGACAGTGTCAGAGTGTCTATTATTCATCGAATGAACTGTGTAGCGAGAGGGTCTATTGTTTGCTACAGCTAAAAATAATGAGCATCAAACCTACTGCGGTAATGGTACTCTCACGTTGCAAGGAGACCTCAAAAAAACTGTTAGATTTTTCCAAAGAATGGGTGCTGCCACAGCGATTAACACAGACCACAAGAGACTACTATTCCTCACTAACTGAATTTGAAGCTGTGCCATTGGATCTAGACTGGTATACCCGAAGGTCGCTTCCAGAAGCGCCTCTTCTAGAAGTGCCGCTACTGTAATGAGCGGTCCAACTGATAGTGTAATCCAGTCTACAAATGATGATGCAACCTCTAGTAAAGCATTTGCAGTGTCTCGTGGGTACTGGAAAGACAAGTACATGAGATATTTTTGTAATTCTCCTGCACACAAGACACCAGAAATAAACCGTGGCTATTTCGTAAGAACAACGGCATTCAGAGCAGTTGCTAGATCTTTTATCAAGGTTCCTTATCCTTAAGCACTTCACTTTATCTACTTCAGTCTACAGGTGGAGCCTGTCAAGTGGTCAATCTTGGTGCAGGTTCAGATACTCTATATCTTTCTTTGAAAGATTCTGAAGAAATCCCACACATATATGTTGAGGTTGATATGAAAGCTAATGTTCAGTACAAAGCCATGGTTTTGGAGAGGAAAAAGTTGCTTAAACTTACAGGTAATGCTTGCATTCTTTTGGTTTTGGTATCAAGAGTTCAGTTAAAGGATAACAGTTAAATTTCTTTATGTAATGCTTCCACTTAATTTGTCTTTGAACCTCTGATTTTTTGTCGACACAATGGAAGTGTTTATTACATGATCAGGGAATAATTTTCATTCAAAATTATCGGAGAAAATCACGAGCCCACTCTGGTTGATGTAAGCACGGACATTTGTTTCCTGAAATCGGAAGATATACTGACATCAGGATCATTGTAAAGGATACGACTTATTAGCACTAAGTCAGCCCTTTTACCACAGTCATAGAACGTGTACAGAATTGTCCACTTTCAATCGCGAACTCTTCATTCCAAGCCTGTATTGCATTGTTACATTTATAATTTTGTATACCTGAGGCAACTTTTGACATTAAATGCCCCATAATTGATAGTATTTCAGGATTACCATAAAGAGTATGAGCGTACACTTTAAAGCTAGTTCACCACCTTTCTAGGTCACGACAAACTGCATAGAGTAAGTAAAACTCCTAGTCTTAGCCGAGGCTCTGTAGTCCATAAGATTAAACGGGTTCATGTCATTGGTTGGCTAGTTGTCAGTGGTGCTGATGTATTTCTACAGTAGATTTTTGAACTGTTATCCCCACCACTCGCATTGCGATCACCAC